AAAATTATAGATTATAAAAACTGTAGACAACAACCAGTAATCAAATCGTGCTATCACATATCAAAATGAATTATTTTTAAGGATAAAGGATATAAGTGTGAAATTATACTTTAGCTCCTGATTTTAAAGTATGATCAAATTTAACAAAGATTAAATTATCTAAATATCAAAAAACAACGAAAGAAAACTCAAGGGCATTAATCATTGAAGATTATTCTGTGCCATTTTATCTTTTAAGCCCCTATATGTGATATCCAAGTACATTTTGTCTTTTGAGTGAATCTCAAAAATCCACTTTATTGGGTATGTTTCATTTTACAAGAATTGGGATGACCATTAAACGAGCTTAAGTTGCTCAGGAATTTTTAATTATGACAGGATGGGTAGGCATGCAAGGTAACACCAAAAAATAGCAATACATTACTTTGATGATACTGTACTTAAGAAGCAAGGGAGTTTGTTGCTGAGTACTTTAGCCGATAAAGCACTCATTTTTCACCTCTTAGATCTCAGTTTCAGTTGCCTCTGGTTACTTAAGCAAAATTAATTTTGTTATGTCAACTGTGCTACCATTCGTTGATAATCCAGGAGGCAAGAGATGCCATGCATATTTCATCATTCCTTTGCATCTTAGCGTTTCTGAACATGGGTTGAATACAGACATTCCAGGTGTGCTCGGAGACCACTAACGTAAGCTTTAGCTCAGAATTTTTCAAAGCTGGATACGTTGTTAACAGTTTTCAGCAGAACCAGTGAAATGTTTGGGGTAATTATTCCAATTTCTATAAGGGAAAATATGGTCAGATTTAAGTAAGAATGTTCTACAGTCACTAGATTAAGAATTCATTTATTTTTCTTACATTAACTTTGTAGGAATATAAATTACTTTTGGAGTTTTAGTGTTCTGTATTTGCCCCCATTAGGATCTATGAAGTCCTTCAGGTTAGAGATGAAATCCAAAATATCTAGCATGATGCTTAGTATAGAGGACATGCTCAAAATATGGGGGCAGAAACAGGAGTCTAATTTGCATGAGGACCAAATGAGCCCACTGGGAACAGGATCAAAGAGGATTTTGGAAGGAATGATCAGACCTTGGAATGCAGGAATTAAGATTGAAAAGATGACAGAAGGAGCTTTCCAGGGGTATCTCAAATAGACAGGAAACTCATTTAGAAATAAGAAATAATGAGATGTCTGAGTTTTATCATAGGCTGCTGACAGAGTTGAAGGCAGAGTGCACTGTACTTTTAGGTGAGTGCTTTTTGGTACCACTCAAATGTCCTCCGACTCAGCCTTGGGAAAGCTTGTGACAAGTTCCTTGAGTGAGGAGCGTTAGAGAACTAAAAGAAAGAGATAGCTCTTGTAAGAGACTTGAAGATCAGGGTGGGAGAAGTTAACTGGGAAGCACTTTGGGACTTTAACAACAAGTTGTAAGGGCAGAGGGGAGAGCTTGCTATAGGGCTGGACCTGAGGTTTGGGTATGACATTCTCAATCACAGTCTCTATACCTGGGCTTGAGATAAAGATAGTGTCACTCACCAAGGGGCTCTAGACAAGATGATGGGTAACATTAGCTATTCATCAGGGCTGACAAGTGGTTGAGTGAAGGTAAGTGCCATTGGCAGCAGCATAAACAGGTAAATTGCCACCAAGGAGAATGTGTGAGCCACCTGGAATCTATCTGGGAATGAGGATGGCCTTTAGGGAAAAAGCCCAATGTGTTTTGCACCTGGACCTAAAGACCAGTTATATTACTATTACAGTAAATTTACTCACACTACCATTACACAACTTTATTGACCCTACAACTTAGACATAAAGAAAAAAAAAAACGTAGTTAATTTGTTTTGTCTCCAACTGGTCTCTCAAAAGTACTTATGGGTATTAAGACACAGAGAACAGGTGTTCTTTTTCTGTTTCCCATTCAAACTACTGGAGAAAGATCGCCTTTTAGACTTCCCCATGCCACTCTGAAACATGATCACCTCAAAGTCAATGTGGTGGCTCCTTGCAATCAGGCAGGAGAAAGCCTTGAGGCCATGCTTTCTTAAGCTGTTCTAGATTGCACCTAAGAAATGGCCTGGCAGACACAACACGAAGAAGTTCTCACAGGCCCCAGGGTGCGGCTGGGAAGGTGGATGAGTTGTTAACGAATGCACCTGTCATTGGGCCTGCTTCAGGTAAAGGTGAGCTGATTCCACAGGAGTCAGGAGTGAAATGCCTAGCAGGGAACTGGTTGGAGAATGAGGAATGAAGGCAGCTTTTTTACGTGCTGCCCTAGATTTTCTTGGCCTCTCTCACCTCTTTTCTCTTTTGCTCCTTGCTCACAGAAGAGACTAGCAGCTGTGTCTTATATCTCCTTAGAAAGGAGATTGAATCATCCTTCAGAGTGATTTAAGAGCATTTAAACAATCATAATATAACATGCAAAGAACATAATAAATGTTATTTCTGAGTAGCCCCCAAAGCAAGATACCTCTTTAATATTTAAAATTTTGACATAAGAAATTTGCATTAGGGCCATAACATAATCTTTTCTCTTTATCATCTCTGCATATAAAAGCAATTTACATGTACCCCAAAACTTAAAATGCAATAAAAAGGAAAAAAATAAAGCAATTCAGTCTACCTGTAAAAGCAGCATTTGCATTATGGAAGTTGTCTTTTAAACATGATTCAAATAGTAAGAACTATGTTAAGAATGCAGTGTGAGCTCTCATCTAGGCTAAGTTCACGAAAATTGTGGATAACAAGCTTACTAACATGTTAAATTTTACTTTTCTCATCTTAGCTGACTAAAAGGGAGGAGGCATCATTTGAGACAACATAATGATAAAATTGGGTTTTCAAATGTAAAAATCTAATATCAGCAATTGTCTTCACTTTGTTTTTTAAAATATGTGATGTTTTACTGCCTGGGGACGTCATTAGCAACTGGTTATGAGCAGGCCAGGGAATAAGGTGGAGTGAGGCATCCGGGTCCTGGCCCTGGTTATCAAGAAGTTACATAACAAACAGCCTCCTCTCTCCTAAACTTTTACACTCGATCTTTGCCAAAAGGCCAAGAAGTGCTCTCCTAAACTATTAAGGCAATTATTGCAAAATCTTGCTAACTGAAATATACTAAGATGAAGATACAGATTTTAGAGAGAAGAATAATGTGACCAAAATAAAGGACATTATGTTTTGAAGTGACCGTAAGAGGTAACTCACAGTAAGTCAGACAGAATGAACAAAAGAGAATGTGTAATTCTTGAAAGTTTTTCTCTGCCATACCTGAGATTATGAATATTTTTCCATCAAACAGGAAAACCTTTGCTAAAGACTATAATTCCCCCTAAATCACAGCACCTATATTTTGCACTTTTTAACACATTGTTCACAAAATAATGAATAACCTAGAAACTGTGACAGGCTGTGAACTCTGAATACAGAAAAGCCGTATGATCAATTCTTGATCATTTCCCTGTATATTGTTTACATTATATTTTCCCATCTCTCCAGCCCCCTGTCGGTTTGAATTAGGTGACACAAGGATATTTGATTATGTTAGATTTCTGCCCTAAGGTTAATGAGTAATGTTTGTGATCTGAAACAGGGATATTGCACTGACAGTGTCAGGAATGACCCCAGCTGTGCAAAAAAGGTGTCAAAATGCCAATAACCAAGTGTGTGGTGAGGGTCATAGAGACTGTATCTGGCCACTTGGTGGGCAGATCATAAACTCTTAATCAGTGGTACTTGGGCTGGGAAAGCCTCATAATTTATCCACACATGTCTTTTCGTCTGTATAGCACACCCCATCAATTCACAGCCTAGGGCTTTAAACATTTTCACTAGCAAATCTCAAGGTATTTCTTTCTAACTCCCCTGTATATAGGTGGCAAAAAGAGGCATCTCCTTTGCTTTCAAAAGTGTAATTATTCTAGACCTCCAGTGCAGCTCATCCTTTTTAAAATCTTTTTCAAAATAAATTACAGTCCACTTAAGGGTGGAAGATGGGAGGAGGGAGAGAATCAGAAAAAAAAAAATCCTATTGGGGACTGTGCTTACCATCTGAATGACAAAATAATCTGTACACCGAACCCCCATAAGACAGTTTTCCTATACAGCAAAACTGCACATGTACCCCTGAACCTAAAGTAAAAGTTAAAATACAAAAATAACACATGAATTGAGCATTTTAAATTGATATACTCTTTCAATTCTCCGAACCATGAAGTCAATTTAAAACCCCAAGTGTCACAGAATGGGGCTCTGCCCTGTAGTGGATGTCAGAACCAGTTTATAGGATTTCTAATTCAGTTTCACCTGACAACTACAAAGACCGCCCAAGTCCCCCAGTTGTCTAGTTTAAAGTGGATTTAAAAATGTTGCATCTGGGATGGGCGTGGTGGCTCACGCCTGCAATCCCAGTACTTTGGGAGGCCGAGGCAGGCAGATTGCCCGAGCTCAGGAGTTCGCAACCAGCCTGGGCAACACGGTGAAACCCTGTCTCTACTAAAAAATACAAAAAAATTACCCGGTTATGGCGGCGTACGACTGCAGTCCCAGCTACTCAGGAGGCTGAGGCAAGGGAATTGGTTGAATCCCGGAGGCGAAGGTTGCAGTGAGCCGAGATCTCGACACTGCACTCCAGCTGGGCAACACAGTGAGACTCCATCTCAAAAAAAAAAACAAATGCATCTATTTTATCCAACTTACTTGTCGTGATTGTTTACAAGGATATTCTTTCTTTCCATCATTCAACATTTATTGAGTGCCTATACTACGTGCCCAGGCAGAAGTCTGGGATTTGGGATATCAGTAAAGGGAACAACCAAGTGCGTAAACTTTATTATTTATTTATTTTTATACTTGAAGTTCTAGGGTACATGTACAGAACGTGCAGGTTTGTTACGTAGGTATACATGTGCCATGGTGGTTTGCTGCACACATCACCCCGTCATCTACATTAGATATTTCTCCTAATGCTATTCCTCCCGAAATCCCCAACCCCCTACTCTCCCTCCCCTATCCCCTAGCCCCCGGCTGGCCCTGATGTGTGACGATCCCCTCCCTGTGTCCATATATTCTCCTTGTTCAACACCCACTTGTGAGTGAGAAACATGCGGTGTTTGGTTTTCTGGTGAACTTTGCTTTTACATAATTCTTTATTGCATTTTGGTTAGTGTTAAATGTGGAATCTGTATCACAGGTATTCGACGAGATCAGGAGCATGCCCAGCTCTCCACTGTGGTCCTCATGTAAGAGGAGAACCATGACAACGTATTGCATTAGTCCTGCACAGTAATCGCGCATGTTGTTTCTTTACACGTAAGTTGAAAGGGCCTGCTCTTTTTCATTTTTAAGTTTATTTAGCCCAACTCTCTCAACTACCAGTCAAATAATCTTCCTACCGTGTTTAAAATACCTATGACTCAAATCCTCCATGAATCACCTCTGGGTCAATGTTGGGGCACACAGAAATTCATTTAAAAAGTAAATTCCTGTAACCTTCCAGTGGCTCACATTTTCTGTCTCTGACTTCCTTTTTCACGTCATTGACCCTGTCCTTAGCTCTACTTTCAATTCACTGAGGACAAAAATAAAATGGATGGAAAAATGACACACTTGTGTCCTGGCATGTAATAATCAATGTTTTAGGTGGAAACTTTTTACGATTGCCCTGATGAACTGGCGCCTGCTGGTGCAAGAATACAGCTGTGGGACGTGCTAGGTCTCCATGTTGGGTGCCTTGCAGTCCGACCAATACTCTCCATTGTTGGAATTATTTTTGTATTATCAGACATGACAAATTGGGGTCAGAGTTTAGAAGACATTCATATATAAGTCCTTCCTCGCCATGACTGAAGAATTCTCATTTTCAAATTTATAACTTTTAATGAATAATAATGTTCTCTCTCCAGAAATAGGATGTTATATCTTAGGTTTAAATTATCACACATACTGTCCAAAACAATTTGAATCCTATTCCTGCCCTCACCTTCAGAACCTTTCTCTGCCATTGATTATGCATCTTATATAAGGAGTTGTTAATCTTTTAAGCAGTGAGCCATGATTGCACTATTGTACTTAAGCCTGGGCAACAGAGCAAGACACACTCTCTCTCTCTACACACACACACACACACACACACACACAATACATCTATATATATGTGTGTGTATATATATATATTTTTTAGTCTAGGTGAAAATTGTAGTCAAGGTGAAATTAAAGAGTGAAAATCAGAAATAGGTATCAAGACATAATTGTGGTGGTTACTTTTGTAAACATCACCATCATATCAGAGAATGTTTTATATATGTTTAATTCTATGTTTATATAGATACATGTGAAAAAACAAATTCTCTTTGATAAGCTCCATACACACTGAAATGAAATGTTCATTCATTAAAGATACCTCCTTGACTATGTGGTTTCATTAACTAATGTTATCAGATGCTACTTTGCATTCATGTGACTGTGCTTGAAATTGTTTTATTTCTAGTATTTTTATCAAAACTATACAAAAAGATGGCAAAGCTGTCAAAAATTATTCACACAAAGTATATTTCTCTAATAATGCTTTTGCTTATATTATGTATACTTTTTAGAAGAGTTAAACATTTTTGTACATTTTGTACAAAGATGAATGTTATTTAGAAATGCAACTATTTAAATTACATTTCAAAAAAACAAAACTACATTTCTCAGGCAGATATATATATATATATATATATATATATATATATATGTGTATATAAATATGTATGCGTGTGTGTTTTTCTATATAATGAGGTTTCTGTAAAAGCAACCAAACTGCGAGAAATTGAAATAAATAGTTGCACATTTTTGAAATGAAATTTAAATAATTGCATTTATAAAAATATTCATCTTTGTACAAAATGTACAAAAATGTTTAAGTATTCTTCAGAAAAGAACATGCATAATATAAGCAAAAGCATTATTAGAGAAATATACTTTGTGTGAATAGTTTTCTACAGCACTATCATCTATTTGTATAGTTTTGATAAAAATACTAGAAATAAAACAATTTCAACTACAGAAACATGACTGCAAAGTAGCATCTGATAACATTAGTTAATGAAACCACAATAGTCAGGGAGGTATCTTTAATGAATGAACACTTCACTTTAGGATTTATGGAGCTTATCAAAGAGAGTTAGTAGTTTCATTATCTTTTTCACATATGTATATGAACCTAGAATTAAACATATATAGAACATTCTTTCAAATGAGGCTGATGTTTATAGAAGTAACTGCCATGACTATGACTTGACACCTGTTACTGATTTTTGACTCTTCACATTTCACCTTGACTACAATTTCAAACTACCTATCTTAGCAAAAATGAAATCTCATCTCAATTGCGATTTGTGTACTCACAGCACAGGAAACAAAGCTACAATCCTGATACATTAAAAAATGGATTACATCATTTTATAAAAATTGTGGCACATCATTTATTTCCTCATTACAGTTTCTGTTTCTTAGAGGAATGATGACTCAGAGTTGTGGTTTACTTACCTAAAACAGACTACTAAGTTACCATAAACTCAATCAATGGGAAACCTGACAGCCCGCACAGTTATTTATGATGTGCCAAATGCAAAATCATGCTTCTACTTTGAGGTTTTGCTAACAAGGCACATTGCTAATTCCTGGGAGGAAAAAAATATATTCTAAGATATTTGGATATAAACATAATTTTACAACAGTATTTATGAAGTACTTTCATAGCTTATATAAGATATATTGATATAGGATTATCTGGTAAAACCTTTATAAAATTAAATAATTTTATATTGCAACTGAAAAAGCAACTGAGAAAGAACAATCACTAAATTTAAAAAAACAGATTTAAAAATATTATTTTTAAAACACATTACACTGAACAGACTCCTACCTAACTTTTTGGTTTATCTTAAAGTTGCCTCCTTTTCTTTTTAACACTTTGTAGTTTTTCCAACTTAATCATTGAAATATGGAAATATTTCTATAACGCTACCAAATTAATAAGACCACTGCACTCCTGTGTAGAGGTGGGTTGTGAAAGTCAATTTGTTAATTTAATAAATTAACAAATGGAATATGGAAACTATGAATCCATATTGCCTTTCATGCATTTAAACTAAGAGAGAAACTTTGTAAACATGTCTGTATAGTCATTAAAAATTTTACCATAGTGGATTATTCTGTTCAGATAGCATCTATGCCTTAGTTTTGTTATTGTATTAATAATATTTATTTCCAACAAAAAAATAGACTGATTTTAACAATTATAATTTAGAATTTTTAATTTAGGAATTAGAAACACTATAAATGCTTTTATGAATATCATTTATACATTAAAATATGTTAGGCATATTTTTATAGATATAGAAAAAGTAACAAAAAGAAAGCATGTATTCAATTCAACAAATATTTATTAAGTCCCTGCTGTGTACCAGTAACTATTCTAAATGTAGAATCCAAAAATAAGTATAAGTGGCTCATGTGATCGAGGAACTTACAATTTAGTAAAATAGATGTTATGCTCTGGTGAATAATGTTTATTTATAACAGTACGAGGTTGAGTGCAGTTGTTGAGAGGTTGGTATATCGAAACTTTAGAAGCGAGAAAAATACGTTCCAGTGTTTAAGTTGTCATGGACAATGCGGGCTTTAATCTGGAAAAAGTATGGACATTTTAGTTTGTGGAATGAGAAAAGATGCCAAAACCAGACTGAGAAGAACATGCATAAAAAGTTAAAATGTTGGGAGGCCGAGGCGGGTGGATCACGAGGTCGAAAGATCGAGACCATCCTGGTCAACCTGCTGAAACCCCGTCTCTACTAAAGACACAAGAAATTAGCTGGGCATGGTGGCGCGTGCCTGTAGTCCCAGCTACTCAGGAGGCTGAGGCAGGAGAATTGCCTGAACCCAGGAGGCGGAGGTTGCGGTGAGCTGAGATCGCGCCATTGCACTCCAGCCTGGGTAACAAGAGCGAAACTCCGTCTCAAAACAAAAAAGTTAAAATGAAGAGCTAATTTGCTTAAATAAGAGGAAAATAGTGGGAAATAAGCAGGGAAAGAAAGTCTAGTTTTTAATCAGATTTAGAGGACTTTCAATACATTCATAATATGATAATTTTTATATCCCAGACTTAGCTAGTAAAATTGGTTTCTATCCTATAAACCTTGGAGATCCTAATAGACCTGAGGCAAGCAGTATTTTGTAAAGGTGAATATTTGGAGCTTATTGGTGGGAAAAAGAATAGAGACGGGAAAACTAAAATAGTGAAAACATGTAGTTACAATTAGGACATATGCGGGAAGAAGCAGTAGTGTTGAAAAGAGGTGGGCATTGAAGATATGTTCAAGGAATGTTTATCTTCCACTCAGCTAGACAATTTTCTTCAAGTCCCCATCTAAATTTTTTTCTTTTATGTTCTGCCATTGTGATAGATTAAAGATGTCTGCAAAGTCTTTGCTGCATCTCTCATTGAGAAGTAGGGTTTAGTTTCCCTCTCCTTGAGTTTTGGCTGAGTTTAGCAAGTCTTGCTTGAACAACAGAATGCAGTGCAAGTGATATTCTGACCCTTCTGGTATTATAGACCCTAGGTCAAAAAGGACGCACGGTTTATGCGCTGTCTGCTTGGAACACTTGCTCTAGACACCTGACTGCCATAGAAGAAGCCAACATGGAAAGGAACCAAGGCCCAGGACAACAGCCCCAGCAGGGTCAGCTGCCTGCACCAACCTGCCAGCCGTGGAAGTGAGCCACCTTGGAAGTGAATTCTCCAGACCTGTAGAGCTACACCAGCTTATTCCATGAGAAGCAGAAATGAACTGCCCAGCTGAGTCCTTCCCAAATTCTGGCACAAAAGATCATAAACAAAAACTATTTTGAGTCCTCAAATTTTGAGTGCAGTTTGTTATGCAGTAATAGATCATCAGGAGAGGCGTAGAGAACAGTATATAAAGTCGACATAGAACCAAACAAGAAGATTAAAGTATAGGTGACATTTTTTGTTTCCAATTATTATTATTATTGAAACATTAAATCCTTCCTGAGTGTAAGCGATCCAGGTGAAATGAAAGTAATCGGAAAATTCTTGACTGTGCTATGAGGCCTTAGAGAAAATGAAATCCCTTTCACACATAATTCCAGAAACACAAAATAAAATAGATTCAAAATGTTATTGGCATTGAAATCCATGAGTATCCTTTCTTCCCTTTCTCACTGAAATTTATTAGAAGATAAAAATCTATGCATTACCTATTCATGGTTTTCAGGGCTATTTTCTCCTCCTTTGATATGTAGTATAAATTTATTTATTTATTATTAATATCTATTATTTTACTAAATTTCAAGTATACGTATTATTATTAAACTGTAGTTACCATGATGTAAATTAGATCTCTGGAACTTATTCATCTTGCAACTGAAAGCTTTTCCACTTCGACCAACACCTCCCAATTTCTACCACCCCTATCCCCCTGGCAAACACTATTCTATTCTGTTTCTCTAAGTTCAACTATTTTTAGATCCCACTTAAGTGATATCAGACATTATTTGTCTCTCCATGTCTGGCTTATTTCCCTTAGCATAACCTTCTCGGAGTTTATCTACCTTGTAGCAAATGCCAGGATTTTCTTCTTTTTAAAGGCTAAGTAGTATTCCATTGTATATATATGTACATATATATACATATATATGACATATTCTTTATCCATTCATCTGTCAATAGACATTTTGGTTGTTTCCATACCTTGGCTACTGTGAATGATCCAGCAATGAACATAGGAATGCACACATATCTTTAACATATGGATTTCATTTCTTTGAACATATACGTATGTGAGACTGCTGGATCATATGGTAGTTCTAGTTCCAATTTTTGAGGAACCCGAAAATGCCATTTTTCATATTGGCTATCGCAGTTAACATTCCAATCAATGGCATGCAAGAGTTCTCTTATATCAACCCCTCACCAGTACATAATTTCTTGTCTTTTTAACAAAGACCATACTAACAGGTGTAAGAAAATGTCTCATTGTATTTGGATTTGTATTTCTTGCATGTGACTAGTGATGTCGAGCACCTTTTCATATACCTGTTGGTAGTTTTGTCAGGCACTACCTGACTATAACATGACAGCACTACACTCTGGAAACCTGTTGTGGGCCATTTTGTGTGTCTTCTTTGGAAAATGTCTATTCAGACCTTTTCCCGTTTTTAAATCAAGTTATTGTTTATTTTTTGCTATTAAGTGGTATGGGTTCCTCATTTATTTTGGCTACAACCCCTTATCAGATACACAGTTTCCAAATCTTTTCCCCAATCCATAGGTTGCCCGTTTATCTTGTTGACTGTATTCTTGGCTGCACAGAAGCTTTGTGGCTATAGTCCCGCTTGTTTATTTTCACTTTTGTTGCCTGTGCTTTTGCATCATATTCAAAAAATTATTTCCAAGGCCAATATCAAGAAGCTTAATTGCTATGTTTTTGTCTTGGAGTTACAGTTTCAGGTCTTACATTTAAGCCTTTAGTCCATTTTGAGTTGGTTTTTGTGTATGGCGTAAGATAAGATTCTAATTTAGTTCTTTTGTATGTGAATAGCCAATTTTCCCAATATCATTTATTGAAGAGACCGTCTTTTTCCCATTGTATATTTTTGGCATCCTTGTTGAAAACTGGTTGACTAGATATAGATGAGTTTATTTCTGGGCTTTCTGTTCTGTTCCATTGGCTATGTCTGTTGTTATGCCAGTATCATACTGTTTTGATCACTATAACTCTGTAACATGCTACTGACTCTTGAACAACAGGTTTGAATTGCACAAATCCACTTATACATAGTTTTTTTTTCAAAACAAGTTACGTCATGCATGGACTGCCTCTCCTGCCTCCCCTTCAACCTCCTCCACCTCTTCTGCCTCTCGCCACCCTTGAGACAGCAAGAACCACCTTTCCTCCTCCTCAGCCTACTCAACATAAAGATAACAAAGATGAGGGCCTTTCTGATGATCCACTTTCATTTAATGAATAGAAAATATATTTCCTCTTTCTTATGACTTTTTAAATATAATTGTGTTTTCTCTTGTTTATTTACTGTATGTAAATGGTTATAACATACAAAACGCATAAGCAACTGTTTGTATTATGAGTAAGGCTTCTGGTCAACAGTGGGCCATTAGTAGTTAAATTTTTGAGGAGTCAAAAGTTGTATATGGATTTTCAACTATGCAAGGGGGTCAACACCCCTAATCGTTGTGTTATTCAGCCATCAGCTGCAGTTTAAAACTAAGAAGTGTGATGCATCTAGCTTTGTTCTTCTGTCTTAAGATTTCTTTAGCTATTTGAATTCTTTTGTGGCTTCATGTAAATTTTAGAATTTTTTTCTCTGTTTCTGTGAAAAATGTCATTGGTATTTTCATAGTGATAACATTGAATCTGGAAAGCAGTTTGAGCACTATGAACACTTTTACAATGTTAATTCTTTCAACTCATGAACATGGAATATCTGTCCATTTTTTATATCTACTTCAATTTTTTCAACAAGGTTTTAGTTTTCAGTGTACAGATCTTTTAACTCCCTAGTTAAACTTAAACCTATTTCATTCTTTTCAATTATATTGTAAATGGGGTTTCTTTCTTAATTTCATTTTCGTATGGATTGTTGTTAGTGAATAATAAATGCAACTGATTTCAGTACCCTTTACTGAATTTATTCAGTAGTTCTAACAGTTTTGTAGAATCTTTTGGGTTTTCTGTATATAAGATATCGTCAACTGCAAATAGAGACAATTTTACTTTTCCCTTTCCAGTTTGGCTGCCTTTTATGTCTTCTCTTGACTAATTGCTTTGGCTGGACTTTCAGTAGTACGTTAAATAGAAATGGCAAGAGTCGGGATCTTTGTCTTGTTTCTGATCTTACAGGAAAAGCTTCCAGCTTTTACAGTTGAATATGGTGTCAGCTGTAGGCTTGTCATATATAACCTTTATTGACTTGGGATACATTCCTTCTATCCCTAATTTGCTGAGAGTTTTTACTCATGATATAATATTGAATTATGCAAAATGTTTTAATGTTTTTTCTGCATCTATTGAGATGGTTAGGTGATTTTATCCTTTATTCAGTTAACGACATGCAAAACATTTACTAATTTGCATATGTTGAATCATCTTTTTATTCCAGGGATAAATTCCACTTGATCTTTGTCAATATTTTCTTGAGGATTTTGCGTCCATGTCCATCTGACGTATTAGCTTTTAATTTTCTTTTTCTTGTAGTGTTTTTATTTGGCTTTTGCATCAGAATAATGTTGGCCTCATGAAATGAGTTTGGATATGACCCTTTCTCTTCCACTTTCAAAATGTTAGATGGTATTAAATTTTTAACTGTTTGATAGAATTTGCCAGTGAAACCATTTTGTCCTGGGTTTTTCTTTTTGGGGAAGTTTATGATTACTGATTCAGACTCCTTGTTATAGGGCTGTTCAGATTTTCCATTTTATCATAATTCAATCTTGGTAAGTTACATGTTTCTATAAGTTTATTCATTTTTTGGTTAAACAATTTGTTGGCACACAAATTCTCTTAGTAATCTCTTCTAATCTTTTGTATTTCTGTGTTACCATTTGTAATGTCTCCTTTTATTTATAAATTTATGTCAGGGCATGGTGGCTCATACCTGTAGTCCCAGCACTTTGGGAGGCTGAAGTGGACAGATCAATTGAGGTCAGGAGTTCTAGACCACCCTGGCCAACATGGTAATACCCTGTCTTTACTAAAAACGTAGAAAAAACTAGCCCAGCACAGTGGCGTGTGCCTGCAGTCCCAACTACTTGGGAGGCTGAGGCAGGGGAATCACTTGAGCCTGGGAGGCAGAGGTTGCAGTGAGCTGAGATAGCACTGCTGCACGCCAGCGTGGGTAACACAGTGAGACTCAAAAAAAAATTATCTATCAATCTATTTATTTATTTATTGAGTCATATGACTTCTATTCTTGGTCAAAGTTTTGTCACTTATTAAAATCTGGTCAATCAAGTTTCATTCATATTTTCTATCCTTTTTAGTTTTAATTTCATTTACTTCTGCTCTAATCTTTATTATTTACTTCTTTCTGTTAACTTTGGGCTTAGTTTGTTCTTCTTCCGGTTGTTTGAGGTGTAAAGTTTGATTGTTTATTTAAGACTTTTTTTCTTCTTACTGTAGGCCTTTATCATCACAGACTTCCCTGTTGGACTGCTTATGCAGTTTCTCAACAGTTTTTGCAGGTTGTGTTTCCATTTTTGTCTCAACATAAAGTCTTCCTTGACACATTAGTTCAAGAGTTTGTCATTTAATTTCCACATATTTGTACATTTTTCAATTTTCTTCCTATTCTTGATTTCTAGTGGCATACCACTGTGATTATAAAAGATATTTGATATGATTTCAATCTTCTTAAATTTGCTGAGAATTGTTTTGTGGCTTAATTTATTTATCCTGGGGAATGTTCCATATTCTCTTGAGATGTATGTTTAGCTAGTGTTGGATATTTACATATCTGTTCTAAAGTGAATTTGGCTTTCTGTTTGAGTAATCTATTCATTGTTCAAAGTGGTGGATTGAAATCTCCTATTATAATTGTATCACATGCAATTTCTCTCTTCATTTCTATTATCATTTGCTTTGTATATTTAGTCCAATGGTAGGTTCATATTGATTTATAATTGTTTTATCTCCTGATGGATTGACCTCATTATAATTATATAATGAGCTTTTTGTTTCCTGTGACAGTTTTCGACTTACAGTACATTTGGGCTGTCCTAAGCATAGCTATCTCTGCTCTGTTTGGGTTTCCATTTACGTGGAATATCTTTCCATTTCTTCATTGTTAACCTGTCAGTATTCCTAAAGCTAAAATTAGTCTCGTAGGCAGCATTTAGTTGAGTCTTATTTTTTAATATCCATTCAGCCACTCTTGTCTTTAGATTAAATGATTTATTCCATGTATATTTTAAGTAAATAGTCATAGGTAAGAACTTATTTTTGCAATGTTGTTAATTGTTTTCTAATTTTGTATAGTTCTTGTGTACCTTTCTTTATCTCTTGCTGTCTTCTTTGTCTTCTTTTGTGATTTGATTATGTTTTGTAGTGATATGTTTTGATTCCTTTTTCTGTATCTTTTGTGTATCTGCTCTAGTTTCTTTTTTTTTTTTTTTCCTGAGGTTGTTGAGTTGTCTGTGTTCTCTTTTATCTTGCTGAGGCTGGTTAAAATAGTTGTTTTGAATTATTTTTTAGGTAACATATCTCAATTTCTTTGGGTTCAGTTACTGAAAAATTATTGTGTTCCTTTGAT